TTTAGAGTGCCTTGCAGTTAGTTTTATTAATTCCATTTGCCCAAATAAGGTAGATTTCCCTTTTTTTCTAGCGTGTTTTAGTGTGTTCAAGCTGCTATAACAAAATACCATACACTCAATGGCTTAAACAACAGAAACGTATTTCTTACAGTTATAGAGGCCGAGAAGTCCAAGATGAAAGTGCCAGAGGAGTAGGTTTTATTCTGAGACCTCTTCTCTTGGCTTGTGGGCGGGCACTGGTAACTCACTGCTCAAATGAGATAGTGTAGAGGAGACTCAAGCATCAGGTGGCTTGAAGGCCTTTAAGTAGTCTCTCTCCCATTTAAGGGAGTATAATTGAAAGAGGGCCCAGCTGATGTACTAGGAAATCCATGGATATGTTTTATTAGAGGCCATGCCTCCCACCAGGCCCTCATAGCCAATAATTAAATATAACAGGGAGTCGAGGCAAGGCCTTATTTTAGGAAATGTAAGATTCCAATAATGAGTGGCTTTGGCTCAAGTGCTCCTTATTAGCTTTGCTGAAACAATCTTAGAGTAGCACAACTTCTCCTACTCAACTTTCCTTGCTTTTTTCTCTTCTTCATGGGAATTAGACCTACATTTTGTCTGCCTGTGACCTACCCCCAGCATAGGTCACATACTGCAAAGGGTACAGTGTAGTTATGACATTCTAAGTCATCATTTGGTGATTTTTTTTTTCTTATTGCCAAGAACATTAAAGTTTCTGTTGAAATGGAATTCAGCTGACTATATATGCTGACTTTTTAGGAACATAAAGTAAAAGTAGATCTAATCTCCCAATCCCTTTGAACTCCCTTCTGGTGATTTTTCCTCACAGATATTTTCTCCAAAAAATTGCCTATACATCTAATTCTCAATTTGGCATCTGCCTCTGAGGTGACAATCACAGGTGGAAAGATAGAAATCAATCAAATAATTTTAATAAGATTCTATGATCCTCATGGAAATTAATAATTTGGATAGTAAGTTGCCTACTTAGAGATTTTCTCCAATATAATAAACACCTGTTTCCTCACACAGGCGTGTTTAGGGCCTGGTCACTCAGGGAAGTTTATGAAAGCAGGAGTTCTGTTCTTACTGTACACTGAAGTCCAGAGACTAAGCCAAAAGACAAGAAATAAATGAGACTGAATCTATCTAAGGTGGCAGTAAGAGGCATGATTGTTCCTTTTTGAAAAATTCGAACTGAGGGTTTTTCCTTCCCATTTTTATATTCTTGGCATAGTACATTGCTTTTAAATGAAATATATGCTTTAAAATATGCTTTTAAATTGGGTTGCTGCTTAATTGAACCATTAGCCAATACCGACTACACCTCTGTATGTACCAAACACTTTTACAAAATGCTAACTACAACCTCCTAGGGTAGAAATTATGTTTATTACTCTCATTTAGATGAGAAAATGGAAGTCTACAAAGGTCAAGTAGTTTCCCAAGTATCCATAGCTGATAAAGGGTGGAGCTGGAATCTGAAATTAGTATCAGTCCAAAGATTTTATTCTTAACTTGGTAACACTGCCTGTTAGAAGGCATACTTTCTAAGATAAAATTTGAAGGTCAAAAACAAATTAGAATTTTCAACTATCACCGTTTAATTTATTTTAGTCACATTGTGTATAAATCATCCAAGAGACTCATTATTATTTAGAGCTTTTTATAGCACCTGTAGTCTTGTTAGTCCCTAGAGATACTGAAGGGACACTATTCTGAGGACAAATGTCCACTTGGCATGGGTCACTCAGTCTTTTTTTTTTTTTTTTTTGAGATGGAGTTTCGCTGTTGTTACCCAGGCTGGAGTGCAATGGCGCGATCTCGGCTCACCGCAACCTCTGCCTTCTGGGTTCAGGCAATTCTCCTGCCTCAGCCTCCTGAGTAGCTGGGATTACAGGCATGCGCCACCATGCCCAGCTAATTTTTGTATTTTTAGTAGAGACAGGGTTTCACCATGTTTACCAGGATGGTCTCGATCTCTTGACCTCGTGATCCACCCGCCTCTGCTTCCCAAAGTGCTGGGATTACAGGCTTGAGCCACCGCGCCCAGCCTGATCACTCAGTCTTAAAATCAGTAAGGATTTGACCTGAATATATACCTTTTAACTTGAATATATGCTATTAGCATATTAGGCTAACTTATGTGACATTCATCAGGTTTTTCTTTTGTCCAAAGTCATTCTTTTTAAAAGAATGTGGCTCAAAGCCATTCCTTTAAAAACAATGCCCAAATGAATCAGAATGAAGAGAAAGCAAAGCTACATGTTTGTAAAAGTACTGGACTAAAAAACCAGAAATAACGTGAAAATAGCCTCTCAACTAATATAAAACTTTGTTTAGTTCAAACTATTAAAAAAAAAGAATATTTTACTCCTACCTTTATGCCTGGTTGAAAATAAGCTTGTATGAAAATCAAAACAAAATAAAAACTATACTTTGTGTGTCTGTGTTTACAGAATTCTAAATTAAAAACTAAAATAAATGCATAAGAAATGATAGAAATATTTTGTCATTAGCTAAAATGTATCCACACATTTAAAATGTATATACTTTATTTGGGGGAAAATTTTTGTATGAAAATTCATTGCCTTAAATTCCTAGAAATTTATTTTTAATGTATTTCATACTCCTATTAATTTTTGCTTTAATTATCAAGCTGTGGAAATGTCTACATTTCATAATAACAAAGTACCACTCTCCTAGAAACCAGAGGTGAAATGGAATTCTTACCACATCTCTCTCCTCTCTTGGTCTTCATTTTTAACTCCACACTTATAGTATTGGTTCCCAGGCATAACAGTTCTGAAATAATGATTCAGGGCAACATTCTGCCTAGAATATGCCTTCCCCAGGATACGTCACATACTACAAAGGGTACGTTGTAGTTGCGACATTCTAAGTGATCATTTCGGTGATTTTCTTCTTTCCTTATTGCAAGAACGATAAACTTTCTGTTGAAAGGGAATTCAGCTGACAATATATGCTCATTTTATGGGAATGTAAAGTAAAAGAAAGCATTATAACCATAAGCAGTTTATGAATTATAAACATGTAGTTTCATGGGTCAGCCGGACGTTACCAAGAACCTAAAGGTAAGGACTTTTATAAAGCCTGTGTTTGTCTATTTTGTAGACTTCTGAAGCAAACCTGCAAGATGAGGAATTATACAATGAAATAGACTGTCATTGAACCGCCAGGTGCGATATGGAAAGTTTAGTAATGGGTGTATTGTTTAAGAAACTCTGCTCTGCAACAAGACAATGCTAGGTATTAATTTTTTTTAATAATTTTCTAAAGTAATATTTTGAAACTAAATGACAAGAAGCATCAGAAGAAAGAGGGGTGAGAGTCAGAGGCTGAATAACTGACCTGGTATAAAATAGAGGCCTGGATCATGCCCTTAGACAGCACAACATTCCGTTAGAAAACCCTGGGATTCTGAAATTACACATTTCTATTTTTTTGGGGACCAGCAAACATAATTTCCCCACCCTTTTTTTTTTTTTTGGTCACACGATATGAGCCAAGAGAAGGAGAAAGAAAAGTAAGTGTTAAGGCTTGGGATAAGTAGCAGAAAAGATAAGAAAAAAGAGCAAGCACAGCCTTAAACATGTTGTTTCCATTCACTCAGAAAAAGAAATAAATATTTAAATTTGCCAGAATCAGAACTACAATTTCACTCCCCTTTATAAAATATAAGGCACCCTGTGCATATGAGAGAGCATCTGTGAATGAATCTAGGCTTGCTCTAGACAGAGCAGTGAGAAATGGACATGATGGAGCTTTTGTATTTACCCACTTTTTTTTGTGACCTGTGTCCTCAGGTTTTCTGCCCACTCCCACCAGTGAAAACTCTGAACAAGTGTCAGTAGGGAAGTGTCTGATAAACTCCTTATTTCCAAGATATTGATTGATAACATTTATCCCTGATACAATTTGCATTATAATGGGGAAAAAGCCAAAAATGTCTATGGTGAATATCTATAATGAAAATTCAACAGTGAAATTTTAGGCATAAGGAGACACCTGAGAAAAAGAGAGACTTAGTTGTGATAGGCAAGTAGGGTGTTTCACTGAAGGAAAGACTGTAATAAAATTATCAACATTGACTCCTTATGAACTACTTTCTGGAAGGACTTGATAGGGCTTCAAAGCATATGAAAAATTAAGAATGAAATACTAATCTAGTAGTATTGCATTTTCTCCTTTTCTTCCACAGACATGCTATACTTCCAAGCCTCCCTTGTAGTTAGATGTGTCCACCTGACTGTAGTTAGATGTGTCAATGGAATGTGAGCTGAAATTACTTCTAGGCTTAAACTACATGAAATGTTTCATAAATTTTCTCATTCGTCTCCCTCATGTCTTGCTCCCCACTTCCTTCCCAATTTTGTTCAGTTGAATTGAAGATGACACTCAAGGAAGCATTGGGAGCCATAATTTGAAGAGAAAGAATACCTATCAACCCACTGGCTTCAAAAGTCTTGTGGATTTATTTACTCATTCAGTACTTCTATTAAAAATAAATTTTAATAAATTTTACTTAAAAATTAGTCACGTACTGAGTTTGTACTATTATAATTTCTGGAATCTACTTGCTACAACAGGTGGCTGAACATTTTGTACAGTGAACCAGTTAGCGTAGACTGTATAGAAATCTAGAAGTAAACTTTCCATTCCTTTTGCCACCAAAAGATCAGCCAAAAATGTTTAAGTGGTTATACATGTAATAGTTCTTAATGGAAAAGGAAATTTTAGCCTTTGGTTAGAATAAGTGGGAAAGGCTGTATATTACATTGTAATGATGAACACAGACTTCTTAAGTTTTTTTTTTTTTTTTTTTCATTTTTGCTGTCAGAGCTACTACTCACTAGATGTTTCCTTAAAACAGACAATTGGGAAAATGACCATATAGAAACATTTTATAGAACAGTTTTAATGGTTTAATGGTTAAGAAGTACTAAGTAAAAAATGACCAATCCTTATTCAATGGACATTATAGTTATCAGTCATGAGAAAACCTGAACTTTTAACAATAATTACAACATCTAACACTCACACAGTATTTATTGCATATGATAACCATTCTAAGCATTATTCAATTCTCATAAATCTATGAGATACTGCAATTTCTTACACCAACACCCAGAGTTGTGACAAGCTTCACAGGTTAAAAACACAATCCTTCACAAGACTACCTTCACTTCAATCACCAGGTGAAAGTCCGGGAGTCCAAAGATCATCTTCACCTCTGACCAACTGGCAACAAATCTGGGGATTCCTACTACCCCTTCAGGCTCAATTCACCACAAACAACTCACGGAACTCAGCAAAGTACTATACATTTGATGACAATTTTAGTATAGCAAAAAGGATACAAATCAGAACCAGCTAAAGAGGTGCATAGAACAACCTCTACGAGGATTCTAAATGCAAAGCTTCCATTGTTCTCTTCTTGGAGTCAGGACAGAGTGTTACCAACCAAGGACGCAGACCAGACCACTGTATGCAGAGTTTATATCAGTTTCATTACATAGGCACAATTGATTAAATCCTTGCCCATGTCACTCAGCCTCCATTTCTTCTCTTCCATCCCTGGAGGTTGGGTTAATACCACCTGGTTCAAAGCCCTAACCCAATAACCACATGATTTGTCTTTCTGGCATGGCCAGCTTCCATCTTGAGTCATCTCATTACGTTAAACTGTCTAGCAGCAGGCCATGAGTCACCTCATAATAAACAATCAAGGCTAACCATAAATATCAAAGACACCCATATCACTCAGGGAGTCCTAGAATTTAGAGCCTACTTTCTAGGAACCCAGGACATAGACCAGCCAAATTTCTTATTCCAAGGATTTAGAGGCTACATTCCAGTCAAATTTCTTATTATACAGATTGTACTATCATTATATACATCTTTAAATAAAGAAACTGAGGCTGTGAAAGGCTAAGTGATTTGCCCCAGGTCACACAGCTAGAAAATGGAAGAATTAGGCTTTGAAACTGAGTGGTTCAGTTTTAAGGTCCATCATCTAAGTTATTACTAATGCTCTTAATTTTTGCCATCAATCTAAACCTGGATGGCACAGTGTTATATCGAAGAGCTAAATATCTTTATTTAATACCAGCTTACACTGGCAAATTAATTTGTATTCCTGGAATGCACTTTAGAAAATTCATTGTTTATAAAATGAAAGCACAATATTAGATTCAATCATTCGTTCAGTAAATCAGAGTGTCTACAAGATTGTAGCTGCTGTTCTCGGCCCTAAATGATCTCTATAGTCTCCTAATTGTAAGATTCTATGACTTTCTAGTATATGGGAACAGCTTTTTTACCATTATTGATACCTATGAAAGAGCTACTTAGCATTTATTGTTAATATAATTTTCCCTTTCTAAAGGAAATATAGGTAATATAATAACAGACAAGATTCTACAGGACAATATTTGATCCCTAGACAGACAATTAGACATTTAGATGGGGTATAAAGTGTAGGCATGCAAGTTTAAGAATAAAACCATGAAGCATAATGATTAAGGCTTATTTGTAGTCCATTAAAGAATAAGAGCTATAAACTCCCACACACATTCTTATTTTATATAGATTCCCAAAGATATTGACAGATAATTCAAAAAGTAGAAACTATAATTTTTTTTAAGTTATTAAAAAATGTTAAAAAAGAACATACCAAAGTCTTTTCTAATCTTTAATTACTACATAATTATGGTATAATAATAGTATAAATAGAACAATAAAAGTGATAATGATAGGAGAAGGAAGAGTCAAATGAATTATAGCACATTACTTTCATGGTTTTTGATATATTTATATTTATATTTATGACCTTGATAAAACTCATTGGAAAGCAATTTGGTAATCTCTACAAAACATTAATGTGTGCTTTGATCTCCATTTCCAAGAAACAACCTTATATCAGTAGTGATAAGAAGAAAAAACACTACATCTTTAAATGTTCATTGAAGCATTCTTTATATTTGCAAAAATCTGGGGGAAAGTCTAAATATCAATAACATGGGGAATGGTTATGTAAATTATAGTATACTGACTCCATGCACTTTCCTTCCTAATTCAAAATGCTGATTAAGAAACAATGTAGCAAGAAGGAAAATGTTTTAATGGTAAGTTAAAAAAAAATAGTAGGCTGAAAAATCACAAGTATACCATTGTTCCAGAACTTGGCAATCCTGGCATAGCCAATTAATATTTATCAGTCTTGTGGTAGTAGATAAGACAAATAGATTGTGACCATTGCTCTTTAACCTGCTAGTCAACTATGGTTGCTATATTTTTCCTATGATACGTCAGTACATCTTGACTGAGGAAGCATGAATAACACTGACAACTTTTGGATAAGCTCATTCCTCTATGAAAATATTTAAGCTCTTATGTCTCTGAAATCTTCACTAATGACATGCCTCTCAAATTGGCACCCAAACTCATTTTCTCTTAATAGAACACTATCATACATCAAGTGTCAAGCAGACAAAGTAACTGTGTGGTCACAAACACTTTCAATTCATGAGAATTTGTCTCCTTGTCACAGCTGGTTACTAAATTCTAGTGCAACTACAACTGACGCAACCTCAGCAGGCAGAATAACATTCGCATTGGTCAGGGTTCAGGATGCACTTGCTTCTTCATATTTGCCACAATCATTGTCAAAACCCAATTCTGACAGGATTGGCATGTGAGAAAGATTGATGAGGGCATACTGTCTAAGAAGCAGTAGGAGAATAGATATGCCCAAGAGGGGCAGTGTAATGCTTAAAGGACACGCCAGAAATCAGCCTGAAGCACTGAAACATCTCTATAAGTAGCGACAACCACCCCATGGTGCCACCAAGAATGGGACAGCTCAATTTGAAATAAGAAAACAAGGCCAGCCAATGCTGCAATTCAGAGCCTGGCTTTCCAAGGAGAGACACTTGATATCATCCTCAAGGATACAGTTTTCTGTGTAGCAACAATACAAAATGCTTTGTTTATTAGACAGCCTCATTTGTTGATAATTAATTTCTTTATCATTTGCAAAGATAATTAGAAATCAAGAAGTAACATTTCTCATGTAGTTCAGATTTTTACATGGGATGCTTTTACCGTTTTCATTCTGCTTTGAGACAGAGAAAAAAAGAATTATACTATTGTTTAAGTCAGTGGGGCAAAAAAAGAAACAACTAGGTAACAGAAAACAAAAAGCTCTGTAAATAATTGTTGATTGTGGGATTGAAGAAAATGGCTTCACATCAAAGAGATCTGAAACGGTCACACTTTAATAAATACAGCAACTAGTTAAACCATAACAGCAAACCCCGGGGAGCCTATCTTCTTGATGAAATGGAATTTCCCTGTAGATTCTGACAAAAGCTAGAGGTTTTCTTCACGCCTACTGCTTTCCTAAAACAGAGCATTCAGAAGATAATTTCACCTGTCATTCTCTGAAATCTAGTTTTTTCATTTTGGAACATGCATTGAGTGCTGATGACTACAATGGTGCATTCATACCTCTGTAAATATGCCATTGTTTCTCCTATAAGTATACATCACATTTTAAATTATTCAATAGCAACACATTTTGAACTAGTGCAATTACAGAATTCTAGTCTCAAAGTCAGAATAGGCTTAACATAGCCAACACTAGGCTACATTTTATAAATAGTCTCTACAGTCCATTTAAAATAGATAAATTTCTTTAAATTCACCATCCTTCTTCAGTGGAGTAACCAAATAAACACGCATCATTGTCCAGATAGCAATGTCTTAGATAGCAATATCTATCTTACACCATTTCATGTAGAAGAATAAGCAAAGATTGCATAATAAAAAAGATGTTGGTACAAATATAGGCTCTACTATTATATGTAAACCGCTATTAACTTCTTCAGCACTTAATATTTTAGATCACATGTTTTGCTAGTTTTGTTCTTTTTATTCTCCCTCCATTAAAATGTAAGTTCAGTAAGAACAGAACTTTTAGACAGTTTATGTACTGCTATATTTGTCCCTTGCATGTAGTAGCCACCTAGTGTATATTAGTTAAATGGTTAAAACATTCACTCTCCAAAGAATTTCCATCGTGTCTTACCAACTGTAAATAGCAGCGAACATTACATACAGAGGAGTAGATTTATATGTACCCAGACAATATTGGTTATACTGCTTCTGACTACTGGGATTGAAGACAATACCTAAACCAAAAGAGGTTATATGATACATACTTTTACTAATCATTGCAATACTTAAAATACATATTAATATTTTACGTATGCATGTATATTTTACATCTTCAAGGAAATAATACATTATTTCCTAAGGATATTCTAAAAGTTAAAATAATGACTAAACAACACTTCAACAAATATTTTATCAATTAATCGACAAGTTCTTTTTTTAACTTCTACTTTTTAGATGAAATTATAGCCTTTGATTTTCAAATTATAATCTGTTAAATAAATTGCGTCAAACTTTGCCTACCGTTGCTCAGTAAAAGAACATTGCATTAAGACAACCAGTAAGCTGAGAGTCTTCTTCAATTTATTAATTTATTATTTTACTCAACAAATATTGACAGGTTATCCTATGTTTCCAGTATAATTCTAGGAAATTGAAATATAGCATTAACAAAAGAGGAAAAAAATTCTCCTCTCATAAATTCCCTCTCCTCAGAATTTGTATTTCTAAGATGGACTTTAGACATATATATAATTCAAGATTAATTGTATAACCTTAAATATTTAAGTAGGTATCTTCTAGATTCAGTGGTTAAGAATGCCCTCCCTGAGGAGTAGACTTTTGAAAAACACTTGAGTGAAAAGAGGAAAGGAATTAAAAGAGTACCTAGGAAAGAACGTTCTAATCAGTATTCTCTTGAGTGTGCCAGTCGGCTGAGTGGTTTTCATTTATTTATTGCTAAGTACCTTTAGAAATTTCTGCTAGGTTTTCTCTCTAGAATTCAAAGCATTAAAAAATTGATGTTTGAGAAATGACTCAAGTCTACCAGTAAATGAGAAAAAGAAAACAACCTCAAGAGTATATGATGAGTTGGGCACAGTGGCTCACCTGTAATCCCAGCACTTTGGGAGGCAGAGTTGAGAGGATAATTTAGGCCAAAAGTGTGCAGCCAGCCTGAGTAACCTAGTGAGACCCCTGTCTCAACAAAATTTTTTAAAAATTAGAGTGTGGTGGCATGTGCCTTTAGTTGCAGCTACTCTGGTGGTTGAGGCAGGAGGATTGCTTGAACCCAGGAATTTGAGTGAACTATAATGGTGCCACTGCACTCCAACCTGGGTGACAGAGTGAGATCCTGTCTCTTGAAAAAAAAAAGAGTGTATGACATTCATTTTCTATTGGTGTAAAAATGTTTATGATGGACCAAAAATGACACAGATAGTGAACAAAGGCAGAGAGACGCCCACACATTATGAAGAGCAGGCTCTGAGTACAGAGACCATAAATTACCATTGGCTCATTTGTCTCAGTGGAATTATTAATAACACCTCTTTTCATTTTCAGGAGAAACCTAGTTTCCTCCTCAGAGGGAATCCAGGAATATAGCTAGTGGGGAGGATACAAACAGTATTTGGCTCCTATTAGGTACTCAATAAATGGTACAATTTGATGAATTAAGAAAGGAGAATTTCTATCATGACTCCACCAACAATGTAGATATGCACGTGTGTGCGTGTAACTGTGTGTCGATGTGTTCGTATTGTGTGAAAATATACTTTTTTATTACATAGCAGTGTTCTAATAAATGATCTAGCATAGAAGTAGGAAATCTAGGCTGGAAATGTAGGGAGGCAGGTGACTGGCATCTGAAACATTTCTCTATTGAAAGCTCCAACTCTACCACTAGTTTAGGGTGCATTGCAAAGTTCAGCTCCATTAAAATGCACAGGTAATGACAACTCATTCAATCAAAATATAAAAGTAAGGAGATTTAGGATTTTGTTAGAGCTTGTGGAAGGGCAAAGGGAAGGATAAGGATAGATGTAATTCAAGAACAAGAGAGAATCTAGTAGGTATTTCTAACCAACGCCTGTACTGAGATTTTGCACAGATATCAGAGTAGCATCCCCCAGATGAGCGCTTATTAGGAATGGAGTGCAAAGATTAAGAAAAGAAAGAGGAGTGGGAGTTTTATAAAATGTCATTTTCCCATGCCATTGGTCATGCTTGATTAAAGAGCTTTCTTAGTGAGTTGAGTCCTACTGAGACAGCTTATTGGGGTTTCTCTTAATCAAAGTATCTCTAGATTTTACATTAAAGTTAAAGTTATAATAAATGTGTAGAATGCTACCATATTATATTACCTATTAGGGAATACATTCCTGAAACTATGCAGCTTTAAAATATTGCAGAGCATTAGTTCACATTTTTAATGCAAACAAAAAGAAACAGATATTATAGTATATGTATATATATTATAGTTTCCAACAAAGGATACATCTATAGAATTTTTAAAGTTATATTTATTTTCATTTGGAGGAAACAGCTTATTTTAATAACACTAAAATATTAAGAAACAGTCTAAGAAATCCCAGCCTTTAAATATATAATATAAATACATACAGTAATAAATGAAATAATAAATGCATTTTAATTCAGCAGTGTAAAATACAGAATAGTTCCACACCATTTTGCATTTGATTTTGTTCTTATATTTTGGTATGCTTTTTGTTAGAAATACATGACTAACACTCCTATATCATTAAGCTTTTTATTGAAAAAAATATTATTGCATTGAACTACAGTCCAAGTAATTTATTGAATAACCTAAAAAAGCTGCTTTGCATGTACAATAGTGCAATTTACTTAGCCACAGTATAGTTTAAAAATACAATTTATACAGAAAATGCAAAATAAAATTATTAGTTTATGTATCATATTGCCAGAGGTTCACCAAGTTTAATTACAAATTAAGTACTTAATTAGAATTGAGTAAGACGGGAATTTGCTTTAAACAGCTACACAACCAATTTACATTGTTAACTATTTTATCTCACATATTGAAGGAAATAACAATTTTGTTTGGGAATAAGAAACCTCTTCTTGAAGTTATTGTTTCAATATGTGAATATGTTTTGAAAAACACTATTTTGAACAAAGAACAAGATCTACAATAAAAGACTAAAGAGTTTATTTATTAAAAACACACACAGATTCACATCCACATGTGCACTCATACATATTTTAAGTTTCCCAATTTGCCTGATTTTACTTTAATGTTTCTCACAAGATATTCTTACTCTTGCTATTTAAGAAAAATGGTGGTGGGGAGTTGGCAGGGGGGTTGCATAAAAAGGAGGTGACTTTGAGAAAAAGAATTTAAAAAGTGGATTGGGAGCACCCTCTCCTATATGTAGCTCCTATATGAAAATGACCCTTTGGCTTATCTAATATTGGCTTATTCTAAACCTAACCCATTCAGCTGCTGCTTCCATTTAATATAGCTTAATCCAAAGATACAACAATCACCTTCAATGTCTACCTAATAGAAGAAGTGGATAATATTTTTGCTGGAATGAAATGATAACCTTTGAAAATCCTCTAGACCCAGGCTTATTGGCAGCAGAATTCATATTTTAGTGGGAAATTCTTGTCTTATTGAAGTGGTTTCAGTCTGAGACACAAAGGGCAATTATCTGTTTTCCTGACTATTGTGTGGTTAATAATGTTTCTACTTGCCAATGAGAGCACATTTCTCTTCATGAGTTCATCAAATTTAAAGAATCAAAACTAAACCATTTCACGAGATTTGCTGGGCCAGAGACGAGCACTAGGTCCATTTTACCCTTAAGTATCTTAGCTGTATACACTGATGTGTAAGATTTAGATCTTTTAAATTGTGTTGTTACAAAACTGGACCTGATATTTATATATATATTTAAGAATATTAACTATGTTTCTGAAAACTCAGAAAGAAACTGAAAATGTGAATAACTTTTTAGAAAACATTAAGAAATGTGTGATTAATTTGAGATGATCAGCACTATTATTTCACCACTAAGGATTCAACTATCCACACATCCTGGGGAGAGCATCTGGACGTTTCATTCACATACATCAAGAGCACCTGAATACCAAGCAGTATCTTAATGGATAGACCCATCTCCACATCTTCAATTATTGTTTCAAATGTTTTGAAATGTATAATGTTTTGGGATCAGCTTGAAAGTATGGTGGTAAAATTCAGAAAGCTGTGTTGCTGTCAGCATTTGCAACTGTGTAGGTAATAACTTCATGCACTAAGGAGATAATGAGATTCCGCAATAGAATCCTGAGTAATTTTACCGGTTAAATGTTCCATTTAACAGAAACGCTTTACAGAATTAGTATCTGAGTATATTTCCATTCAGAAATAACAGAGAGATTCCATTAAGTCCTGGAAGAAACTAAAGAAAATGGGTCACTGTTAAATCCATTTTAGGTATATGAAATAAATTTCAAGGGATCATTTTGTAAAATGACTACCTAAGCAAAAAACTCTGGGAATTGGAGACTTTCTAAATCATTCTCTATATTCTAATAATTTCCAATATTTTATTTATAATGCCTTAAAAGTAAACCTTAAGTTCACCTTTACATTTTTATAGGCCCATTGTATTTTTTTAATTGCTGAATTTGGCAGGGAATTATTAAGAAGCTGAACTTCCCCATATTTTCAGTTCTTCATACAAAGCATTTATTTTGTGTAACTCTACCTCAAATTCAATGATGCTATCTGATGTTAGACTGGTTTATAATCTTTAAGAAAAATATATAGATAAGTGCTTGTGCATGTGTGTGTGTCTGTGTGTGTGTACTTGTGTATAAGATTTCACAGCCTTTCTTAAGCATTTAGAGTTTGAAAGAGATTTTTTAAAACTGCCTCCATGAGCCACTTGTGAAACAGTGATCCCATAAAGAAAATTACCCTGTAAATATCAGGCAATAGTCATAAAATAAATTCAATGCTCAAAGTCACCTGTCAAATAATTAAGAAAATGGAAGGAAATACTGCTAAAAATACAATCCATTACAGTGACAACGTTTTTAATTGAATTATTTTAGAGTTTAATATATATTTTAAATTCTTTCTGTTCCACCCCCCCCAGAATATGTTTCTCTTAAGGTAAAATGGAAAACAAAACAGTGTTTCAGCCTACAGTTACTGATCTGGGGGGAAGTAAGTTGCATAATTGCATTTTCCCTCATGTGATGTCACAGTTTTTCCAATTTCTCACTCTGGAGTACGAATTATCTTTTATTTAAAGGGAGAAGTCTGCTTTCTACATAGTCCAAATTAGTTCGTCTGGTGAACACTTTATCACTGTTAATACAAGATGGAATAGTTATTTCCATGTCATCCATTCATATCAATCTGTCTTTGTTAGTCAAAATTAAGTGCTCAGTAGAGGTGCTCTGGTCTAACCTTCTGAGAATTTAAATTGTCACCAAGACAATTATAAAAATCAATCAGACAGCTAATGTTTTTATAATAGGACTTCTAGTGAGTTCCCATGATTATCTTGGCTGTGCACCAGTTTTGTAATCTTTTGCTTTAGGAAATAATTTTTCACATTACTTAAAAAAAAACTTGCTAGACCATTTGTCATCCATTTTATAAGAAATATTTCATTTATCTCGCTTCTTTATGGATTTACTCAATGTTCATCAATGGTCTTTTATAATTATTTTCATGGAATTCCATGCAAGTATAGCTTCTTGCTATTTGATAGTTTTTCTTCATTTTTCCAATCCTTTTAAATTAATTAGATTTTGTCACTGTTATATACCAGTCAGAACTCTTATCTCACAAGTTTCTGATGATATCTTGGAAACTGCATTTTTTCTTTCTGTTAAAACCTCAAATTTACTTTATCTCCTTGTAGTCGCTCCACTCTTTCTTTCTCTTTCTCTCTCACCTCTCGCCGTCTCTCCTGAATCAAAGATGTCCTTTCCTACTGTTTACCAAGTATTTAATATTTAACTTTTCTACTTCCTTTTCCTTATCTGTAATGAGGAACCATAATGCTGATTTAAAAATACAGTTGTGAAAAGTAAAGAAGATGATGCAAACAAGTGGTTAGGGTGACTCTACCTGAATCACAACAGACCTTAAGTAAATATAGCTGTCTTCATTGTGAAGCCGAGGCTGAAGAAGACATCCTCTAATCTTCTAGTGGTAGAGGAGTTTGCATCTTCGTACAGACAGCATTATTAGATAAATGACCACCTCCATTTCTGTTAAGTTTGATTTTCTCTGAAACTTAAGCTTAAGAACATAAAATAACAAACCTAACTCTAGGACCATGCACCAATATAGATACATGAAATGAAAATTTTGTGGGTCGAAAACATTTTGAATGTTTGAAATTGTTTGTGAAATTACATGTATGGTGATTTTAGTCATCATCATTCATTGTTGCATAAATATCTAGCAAAATTGAATAAAACGCACCAGATATTTAATAAGATATCTTCAAGAAACATGTAAAAAGATCGATATTTTCAAACCTTTACCTCTATCCTTATAGATACATTAGCCGAACATAGTAAAACTTTTGAGTAGAAGAATAATAAACACTTAACATTTTAATTCCTGTACTATTTGACAGATTGACCAATATATTTAAAAGTTTATACTGAGTACATTTTATTTTTGAGTTTGCTTTATCAAATATTAATGATAGTTGTATCTTTTTTAATACAAAAGTTAAACATTCTTAGTTTTAAATTTTGCTGATTCTTATAATTACAAAATTATCTTGACATAGATTTATGTGAAATGAAGATAATTTATTTTGCACAGAAACTCAAAAGTACAATCTATAAAGATTGTTTTTACTGAAGTATAATTTTCAACCTAATCAGAAAATGTCTTGTTCTTATTTCCTATGAAAATACAGTAACGGACTACATTAATTGAAAACATAGTCAGTAGTTAACCATAGAAATTACTTTTAATAATTGCTTCATTTCACTGACCTTTTATTATCTAACAAATAAGCCAAATCAACACTCATTCATCCTCGTAACAAACACTTCAAACACAGGGTGCTATACTTCATCTGATTTTTCTTTTTAATTTTAATGCTCTGCTTGAATGTTTTCTGTTGCTATTTTATAGCATTATCTGAAAACCCATCCAAAACAAATCTTTAACCCTTTTCCCTCTTCCCTCTACCCTTTCCTAAAATTATTTTAAATTTGCCTATTATTTTGACAAGCTAAAAAATTATTAAAATGTTCTTGCTTTAATATTAGCAATTTGGTTCATATTTATATATTGGTCACATTTTGTATTGGCAGCAATATTTTAAATCTTATAATTGATAGACTGTTTTAAATATATTATTTTATAGGTAGTGACAATTAAAATTATCCACAAGAGGGACTTTAACACTTATTAGCTCAAGTTTGTGGACACATTTAAGGCCTCTTTCACTTCATTTAACTGTTGCATCTGGCTAGAGCAAGAATGAAGGCAAAGATCCTGACCTTGGAATACTGGTTGGATTAAAGGATTCAAGTGGATGATAGAAGTTGTGGCTGGGTTTAAGTGAGGGCCAAACAGTGTAGGAATAAATGCTGTAGGGGGCAGGGGCTGAAGTGTTATGTGAGATGGGTGGAAGGGGGTAGCAGCTACCAAATGCAGGGGATGACCTGCTAAGAAGGTGGGATGTGCAGGGATAATGGTTGGAGTCAGAGTAGAAAATGAGATAGGAGTGAAATGTGTCTGTGAAAGAGGATGAAGATGAGCAATAGGGAGGTGACTGCTATGAGAACTTAAGGAAGCAGAAACAGCAAAATGCTGCAGGAACGTGTGGTGGATGGTGGTGATAGAAGTGTGCTGGTGAACTGGAACAGTCTGTATGGTTGAGGCCGGAGAGAAGACAGTAGGTCCTGCAGCAGGCAAAACTCGAAGATGCTTTGATAGGAGTTGCTTTTGCATATGCTGCTGGGCTTGTAGTTGTAGGATCTTATATTTATCTATTTCGTCAGGAGAAAATGTTATGGGCTGTTGAATTAAAGGGGGAGAGACAGATTTATGATACATTTCTAATTCGTCTTCGACTTTGTCAGCCTTCTGCATAGTTTTGTCATAGGGAGAGTTTATATTTCCCTCTACATGATTTATATGCATGGTTACATCCTGTAAGTCTAGATTTATTTGGTCTTCTTTGGTCTCTGTTGAATCAGTAACACCAGTATATCTATTAGATGGAAAAGCACCAGGGAATTCATTTGGCACTGGGTCACAGCTTTGAATAAAAGGTTGGATTTCACTAATTAAAGGTTTCGATTGTTGTTTTGCTATTGGATTCCTTTTTATGTTTAGTGACTGAGACTCTGTTACTAGGTGAATTACACCCTTAGAAAGATGATCACAAGCAGTGTCTGCTAAAATTGTACAATTATCTGTCTGTGAACTTTTGCTTTTGTCTTTCTCTGTAGTCCTTGGAATTGCACTGTCTTGATCATTTCTGCTCTTACTTGCATACTGTATTTTTTCAGACAAAGGCAATGCTTGTCTGTTACAGCCTGATGGTACAAGCTGAACTGTGCATGGGACTTGCGAATAAGCCTCTAATTCATTTTTACAGCTGCTTGAAGAGACCTCAACATTGCTTGATTTTTCCTGACATTTCTTGGCTTGTACTCTTTCTAAAAGGCTTTTTGCTGTTAGAGGGGTCCTCTCTGCTTCTGTAATGTTTAATTCTGTGCTTTCTGGAGGGCCGCTGGAACAGTTCTTTAGAAGGCAGCTGATAGTCCCGGAGTTACAATTCACGGGCCTGACTTTTCCAAGATCACAAATGTGGGGGCCACCCAATGACTCTTGATTTATCTTGCTTTTATTCAAGTAATAAATTTTCTCTCTTGAGTAAGAGTCCAATCTGTCATGCTGAGTTCCCTGGCAATTAGGTGGTTTTTCACCACTTCCAGTACAGGAAATGTGAGAGTTAGAATCACAGTAGATTATTCTCGTAGATTTTGGCCCTGAAAATTGTTGATTTTTGCCCAGTTTTTGTCCTTCTCTGCAGTGGCAATATCTACGTTTTGAGTATTTTTCATTTTTAAATGATTCCCACAATTTGCAGTTCCTCTCTTTCTGTGTTTCAGACGGCATTTGGCTGCTCTTCGTTATTTCATCAGGCAAGTAGAGGCAGTTGTGCTTTCGACATTTCCGTTTGTGCCTTTCAACTGAGCTGTGTTCTCTTTTACAGAAGCAGAGCAAATTACCTCTGCTATTACCATTGAATCTATGACTTGAACAAGTACTTCTGAAGCTGGACATGCTGCTAGCGGATGTTTCTGAAGAGTAAGAATGCCTATTCAAAGAAGACTTTGGAGAGCATCTCTTGTATCTTCGGTTTCCACATCCAGAAACCTTGCTGGTCATGCTGATGTGGTTACTCTTCAAAATTACACGGAAGTCTTTTCCATGGTCACTGTGACCCCCTATCGTACAAGGACTGGACTTGCAGGTGAATTGCCTTTCATATTCAAACTCTGATCGAGGATTGCAAGAAATCAGTTTATGCTTTTTAGTCCTAGAGATGTAGGTAGGAAAAGATAGGCCCTCATCAATATCGTTTAGAACTACCTTTCTGCAGCCCTGCCAGTGGGCCCTTGTAGGTTCTTTAAGTTCATTGTCACTATTGTTATTTTTTCCAGCACAATCCTTTAGAGACATATTGAGGTAAAGAGGCACTTCAGGATTTTTCATTTCCAAATCATTTGCACTAAAACTATATTCACCCTTATTTGGCTCAGAATCACTGTAGTCCAGATTATATTTTCTTTGGAATTTTTCCCAATCCGGATTACTTATCATCATCTTTGGTTTCAGATATTCATTATCTTCTTGGTTCAATTTTTGTTGGTCTTTGATTAAACCTGAGACCTGGCTCTCTCTTTTAGTCTTCACTTCCAAGGGCTTCTTACCCAATTCTGTTTTTAAGTCCTCTGGATTGTGGCCTTCCTTTGTGTTCCGAGAAAGCTTAAAATCAAAATACAGTGGGTTGCAGCCATAAGAGATACAGGGTTCTGTTTTTGTAAACAGCAGAAGTTCCGTAGGCCACTGAAGAGTGGTGTGGCCATCCTTGCTTTGAACGTGGAGAAAAGGCAGTGATTTAGATGTCACATTATGAGTACATGCTTCTCTTACAAGTCTTTGAACATTTTTGCTAACTCTTTCTGTTTTATCTAAAGATTTTTCTTTGTTCTCTATTCTGGAATTTGGATTCAGATGCACTGTACTCTTTTGCTCACTTGGCTCTGGTGATGAAAACTCATCCAGACATTCAAATATCCTGGCATCACTATGCTTGTAAATGTTTGGTGGGCTGAAGGAAGCATTTGCTTGGCATGGGTGATTAACACAATTTTCTAAAGTGTTCTTCAATGTATTTCTAGTTTCTTTTCCTCTGCTGGAAGGAGTAAAATCTACATCTGAAAGATGAATGTTAGATTTAGAGAACGAAGCATGAATGCCAATTGAATCTTCTAGTGTTTCATCAATAGAGTCATTTTTGTCTTGCAAAATTTTAGAGTTTATGGAGATGGTATTGTGTAAAACACTTTCCAGATGGCTTGGTGAGATATTTACATCTTTTTCCTTGGTAAGGTGTGTATCTTTATTTGCAAACCTGTAGCATTTGCATTTATCTGCAGTTTGTTTTGTTTTATAAATGGGTGACTTGTTACAATCATGGGCTTCTTCTGTGTTCTCACTGAAAACTGATGCTGAAGACTCTAATTTTAGGTGCACTTTTTTGGAAAAAGAAAATGACACTCCTGTTCTGTGATTTGCATTGCTGAGATCTGAAGATGTTTGCGGTATCCGATTTCCAAACAAATAACACCTGTCTGCTTGTAATTGGTGTCGATTTGGCATGGTGGACCGCTGTTTATCGGAAATGATTCTGGGGAGATTTTTTCCTTTAAGGAGAAGTGCACTCTTCATGCATGATATCTTTCTGCCATTCTTAACGGGGAAAATTCCTTGCTGGAGTTGCTTTTCTATGGCTACCCTGGGGGCTTTGTATGCTGGTCCATTTCCAGAAACACTGTAAATACAATAAATATTTAAATGATTAAGATATTAGGTTTTGAATCATATCTACATATGAAAGTTTTATACTGTTTCTATGACAAGTTATTTTACAACTTATGAGCTACATCTTCTAAAATATAATGTTTTGTTGTGCTTGTATAGCTCAGCCTAAGTTTTATAGTGGCTATTTCTAAAATGAATTGTTTACATGTAGTATTTCAAAATTACCAAAAAGCAATAGCAAGTTAGTTCTTTTAGTGCTACTAAAGCATTTACATCACCATATATGTCCTGCAGAATCTATCAATCTTTGGAATACAGATTTAACATTATTTCACTTATAGTTTTCCAATCAGTACATTCATATTAAAAAAGAAATTACTAGAAATAAAAGTCACTATAAAATATACAAATACTTCTTTAATTTGCTTTTATGTATTAGTTCTAACATTTTATAATGTTTGGTTCCTCGGTTTTAAAATTCCCTCATACTCACTTCATTTTGAAACACAGTGGTACGTTCTTTCTATATGACTTGTCAGTAATTTAACTAATTACAATAATTGCATAATAAAATATGTACAATCTATCTAAATATCTTCAATGATTTTGAAATCTTTTCTTTTTCTTCTTACTTACCAAAATATTTTTCTACCGTTTCTGTATTATGTTTTATCTTTTAAATATTTTCAAAAGATTATCTACTAAGCTTCATTAGCAATTCAAACAGAAGACTGAAAATATCAACACATAGAAGAGAGAAAATTCTTTAGATTAAAATTTATGTACTTTCACAGTCTACCTATATACGCTTTACTATAAAAGACGGCTTCACCAGAAAGAAGACAATACCAATCACATCATTTTTCTTATTGCTGGCTTTGAACTGTCATTCCTTTCCTCTGTCTCGTTCCATATGCTTGGATGTGTTTGTTTGCTTATTTCTAATTTTGATTTTTATTTTACTTTCATCTAGTCATTTGTTTCTTGAATATAAAATGCTAAACCAACTAATATCTCTTCCATATGTTGTTGATATTTTAACGAAGAGTAGTGCTTTCTAAGTCCTTGTCTAACAAATTCTTATTGTTTTCTTTTATAATTATTTGGCCAACCAGAATAGAACTCTGGAGTCACATTCCTTTTGTCCACCAAATTTCATGCAATTTGCTTCACTGCCTCTATATGTATAATTACAGACATACTGAATTAGCCTCCTTTTATTTATCTCTGAAATGAATCTGCTCATGTGCTTGTATGCTTTTCCCTTTTGAAAAAATGTAAAAATATAAATATATATGATTTATTACATTGGATACATAAAATGTATATATACATGCATAATATATATATGCATGCATAATATGTATAACATTTTAACATATATATGTATAACATTCAACCAGAACATAGTTACAGGTTGATTTCCTTGGGTGAATTTTTACTAGTAGTTCTTTGGTACTTTCAAGTTAACTTTCTTCATTTCAGATATTTTTTTTCCTTGATTTCTCTGATTATTGCTTCCTTTGAAATTTATGTTTTAAAATCATTGGCTTCCTGAATATATCCCTTAGGTATTGATATTTATTTCAGTACCATACTTTGTCTTCAGTCTTTTGCTGTAGTTCATGGAGAATTTCTTTGATTTCATGTCTATTTCATTGACTCAATGTTTTACAATATTTAATCTGTTTACAAATTATGGCCATATGGATTTTAATTTGCAAACAATAATTTTAGCCACCATTTAGTTTTGTATGATTTTAGATTGTCTCATCTTCATGAATTAATGGCTATAATTTTATAATTAGAGAGTTCCTTTAAATCCTGAAAAAAACTAAATTTGAAGTTTTTTAAAGCTGTATTCTCTTCCTTACAGTAACTGTTTCATAATGTAAACTTCTTATTCATTACATTAATCTTCTTTTCTTGAGTCATCTTTTTATGTTCTTTAGAGAGGGGGTATTAGACATATTTAATAAGAGGAATAGTGAAGCGCATTCTAAGATAGTATGTGGGTTACTGAATGTTTCTTTCAAGCATAAAAGTAAAAAAGAAGCATAGAGATTTTATTAGAACATTATTGGACTTTGAAAGTGCCTCCAGCCTGAAGATAAAAGGAAGTGCTCCAGAAACAGCTGCAGTATTCAACTTTGCCTTGGTACCAAAAAGATTATTTTCCATATTTGTAGCCACAATTTGGATTAAGTAGGAACTATGCTTCTGAATTAAGTTAACCTTCTCCAGAAACTTCAATCAATCTGACATTATCACCTGTATGAAACTCAGTCAAAATTATTCCATAAGTCTGGTATATGGATATTATTATTCTTCCTTTCCCAATTATATGATTATGTGGATATTTTAGTATCTCTATTTTATATATATATATAATATATATATATACTTTTTAAATAGTACTTTTACTGATTATCCTGACACTGTTCTATTCATTTTCTTGTTTTATGCTAATCTAAATATTGTTTTCTGTACTGTTGTTTTATTTTACCATTTATCTCTCTAACATGCAAGCTTCTTCCTTTTACATTCCCTTAAATATTTTTAAATTTCTTTGCTCTTATTGTTTTTGTATTATATTGTGCTCTAACTTCTTGTCTTAATTCTAGTTCTCATTTTGCAATTCAAATTGCATTTATAATTACAGATTTTTCACAAGTTTCAACCTTTTATCCTTATTGTTAATCTTTGATACTTCTTATTTTTATTCCTTAAACTTTTTTATCTGGTTGCTTTATCAACCTTAATTTCCTTTTTCTTAAATTACAGCTATTATTTTAGAAAATCTGTTTTTGTCTTTGTGGTGTTTGAAATTCTAGTATTTTAATACAAGTTTATGTATTATATTATTAAAGCTTAAATGTTTTCTAGCTTAAATGAGATATAACTGGAAAATAAAAATTTTATATATTCAAGGTATTCAATATGATCATTTGATGTATGCATACAAATTTGCACATCTGTCATCTACATAGTTACCATTTTGTGTGGGATAAGGACACCAGATTCACTCTCTTGGCAAATTTCAAGTAAACAATACAGTATTATTAGCTATAGTAATCATGCTCTACTTTAGATCCTCAAAACTTATTCATCTTTCATCTGAAGGTTTACAAACTTCGACCAGTACCTTCCAGTTTCTCCCACCAGCCAGTCCCTGGAAACCACAGCTCCATTCTCAATTAAGCTTTAATTTTTATAGTTATCTCCACATGTAATATTTCCCTCCCTTCTTTGGAATTTTATTTCTTTAGTTTTTTAAATATTTTATCTATTTTAAAATAACAGTTAATAAAATATCTGTAGAGTTAGGCTTTTAATTCTTATTAATGGATTTTCCATTCAAATTTTTCTCCAAAAATTCTAATACTCCACAACTTAACAAATGCACAATTTGATTCTCTCCTGTTCAAAATGTATCCTTTCCAAACAGAACAAAAAACATATAAAAACAATATGAATTCTTTAAATTGTGTCATTTCTTAATGTTCCTCATTATTCAACTTTTATATGAAAACCTTCATATGAAGTTTTTATATGAAGTTTTAAATTTAAAATTTTTAAATGACACCATTTAAATAATTCATAGTCCCACAATCAATAGCCTTAAAATTTTAAAATTTTGGAAAAAATTTCATAGAAAGATGTACTATACTTAGACATATATATATATATATATATATATGTAAATAATGTATTCTTTTCTATCTACAAGGCTCCTTATTATTCTTTATCTTAAATGCAGAGGTGACTTCCTGGACAGAAAGAGTAAAAGTATGTGTGTATGTGTGTGTGTGTGTGTGCGTGTGTGTGTGTGTATGTATATATATGTATATATATGTATGTATATATACATACATATATATACATACACACACACACACGCACACACACACACACATATATATATATGTGAAGTTCACATACAGAGAGTGACTATCCCCTCACCTGCATATAATAACTGCTATTGCTGAGGAAACCGGTTGGCTGGAACTACTTAAGAGATGGCCAAATTCGACGACCCTTTATAAGATCTTGCTCGTCTTTTTGGTTTTTTTGGCCATCATTTTATCAAGAATCTGATTCCAATATTCTCTCTAGCAGTAAATTTACTGCTCTTCTCCCAAAGGGTCACAGAAGAATTTTGTTATCTGGATGATCCTACTCAGAAGTCCTCATTATGAGGAAAAAGGGCACAGAAAGATTGTCCAGGAGAAGGGTAATACCAACAATTTTTTTTCTATTTATTTTTAACTTTCATTTGTCAATTCAGCTACCAAAATAAAGTATTTAATAATCCTGTTCATTGACTTTTCTTCCGTAATGAGGACGTTTAAACAGAGAGAGCAATTGGCTAAGAGGCAGGTATTGGGTAGTAGAAAATTTTTAAAATAATTGCTTTTCTAGTTTCACGCTCTATGTCTAGAAAGCTGAACACTTGTCCTTTCTCTAACAATATGGGCACACTGTGACCTAGAGAGCGTGCCTATTTTATAAAATCACCAACAAGATGTCGTTAGATTTGTGTTTGTTTAGTGAATAAGGTTTCCAGAGGGACAGCTGAAACTTAGTAGGGTGAACCTTTTCATTTGGAAGAAACTGAATGGGTAGCTCTGGCAAACTTAGAACTTCTAAACAAAACATCATCATCACCATCATTATCATTATCATCATCATCACTATCACCATTGCCATCATCAAGGCACCTCTGATCCTTCGTTATTTACCCCAGAGGAAACTATAGAATGAGTAAGCAGAAATGCAGAAGTGTGACAACTTTCATAATGACAAACAACCAAAATTATATTTGTTGAGAGTATTTTGATTTACTGTTGTGGCCTTAAGGTACCTTTCTAAAGATGTATCTCTATGGTAGGACTGTGGTAGGACTTGTCCCACTTATTATGATCTGACTTACTGCATCTCATCATTAATCACTCAGGAATTGACATGTTCACTAGATTTTTTTTCCTGCATGCTACCCTTACAACCATAGAAATTTTCTTTCTAAGCCCTATTTTGGTGAGGACTGTCTGAGTTCTTATTGACAATATGTTTGAATAATGTAAGTCCTTCATTGTATTGGCTGTGATTTCTCATTTATTTTAAATATGATTATCTTTTACATATTTGCACAAACTAATTAGATTATTCTAAGAGTTACAAATACATAAATATATGCAAGCTGAATACTAATTGTATTTTTACTCATAATTGGTCTTACGAAAATAAATGATTCTCTAGAATTACCTTTTAAGTCTAATATTTTGTGGTAACTCATTAAGTCACTAACTCCTCGTTATTACATATTACTTTCTATTTAAGCAACAGGGGTTTAAATTCTGGCACAAGGGCATAAATTTCACAATTCACCAGGTTGCTGTCAACCACATTAATTAGCTATATTAGTGTTTTATATTATGATTCATATGAACACAAATCACAATCTGCAAATTTAATTGCATTCCAGGTAACAACTTTGAAACATCGAGTGGTTCCAAGCTTTCATAAAACTGCTATTTTTCAGCTACAAGAATGTATTAGTATAAAGCTTGTTATATTATAATTATCAATTTAAATGGTACTGTGTGGTAAATTTAACTGTATTAATTACATCTTGTTTGTCAGCCAGACAACAATAGTGTTATTTACACTAGACTCAGGTGTGTAGAGGAAAATGGTCAGAAGACTTATTCCCCAACCCCTAAAATGCATTGTTATTTATGGTTTTTAAAAGTATTATTATAAAATTTGGAAAATATATTAAGAAATGATGTTAATCCATTTAGTCAACTGAATAGAATAAATGCTAATGTATTTGAATCATTCTGGGATCATTTCATTATAGAGTACATTAAATTAACAATATTAGGAAAGAAAAATATCAAAGGCCAAAAGTAATTAATTTATGAGTGTTTAACTATATTTGCCTAACAGACACATCTGTTAATTATTATTTGTTTACATTGCTACAATAGATTTGCCTTTAAAATTTCCCAGTAGGTTGAAGAGAATTTTGCACTATCCCAGACACCTTTAATTCTTACCATTCAGATTGCTGCCTTAACTCAGCCAACTGATGAAGTCGTTTAAGTGCTTTTTCTTGTTTTTTTTCATCTTTCCATGACTTAGAAGCTACATTTCTAGCAAATTCTCGTTGCTTTAATTCTTTCAGTCTCTGTGGAAAAAGAAGAAAAACCGAAAAGGTACTATCAATAAATAATGTATTCTTTTCTATCTACAAGGCTCCTTATTATTCTTTATCTTAAGTGCAGAGGTGACTTTCTGGACAGAAAGAGTAAAAGTATCTTCTCCATTGTTGCTATTCTCTGCTCCAAAATACATTTAGCAGATAAATGTAGTTGTCAACCAGGTTATTTTTCCAAGCTTGTCACAGTCACTGCAAAAATGTGCTGTAAAGCTGGACCCCAGGCCTTGCTGGTATCACCCTGGCTATGCAACTATAATAATCTGTGTACCTGTACAGACACAAATGGGAAAAATGTGCAATATATGAATGAGTATGAAGGGAGGCATGTTATGAGATGCATGTTCCTTCACCCTCCTGCCCCTCACTTGTAAAATTGATGCTATTAAATACACTGGGTGGAATGAGTTTGTTTCAGGAAAGAGCATCTGTTACTGTGAAAGATTTAGTTCAAAGCTCTAAATGTAATTTTGAACTCATTTTTTTGGATGGAGATATTTATCAAATATATATTTCTATATTATATCCAGGAAGACAGAAAAATGGGTCAGGGATTCCAACTCAGAATAGAGGCATGACCGTACTTGATTTAAGTTAATCCACCACTTATTTTAATTAATATTTTCTCTAAAACAATTGACTTAAGTGCAAGTTGGATCTTTTCTTTAGAATCTGTCACCAAGCACAGCTAATTATATTGAGTGAACTGAGAAACAGCCAAAATCAAATGAACCTCTTGAAGTTTGGGGCTTAATCTTGAATTGGAAGTGTTTTTAAAGATTATCCTCTCTTGACTCATACAAAGTGATTTTAAACAGTCTAAAATCTGTGTCTGTTGAAATCATTTTTGTTTCCTGTATCAAGTATAAGAGATGATTTCCAGGTATGGAGAAAACTATATAGTTATCATGTGAGGTAATAATGCTGTAGCTGACTGTTACAGAGCCCAGTTACAAAACCTTTAATGATCATTAGCTTCATTCTTTACAGGAAACATGCTCATGGGAGACAGTGGTCAGATAACAACATCCAAACTAAGGATTTGAAGAAGACAGATCAGTCTTTCAAAGAGAGAATATTCTGAGCACAAAGAACAAGAACCTCCCAGAATTAGAAGCAGCTACAGGGAGAACAGTGGACTCAACCTAAATTCAATTTTTGACAAATACTTCAAATCCTTCTAAAAAATTAAAAATTTCAAAAAATAGAATTCTGCTCTGTATGTTATTAGAAAAAAAGATCAATAGTTTTCTGGAAATTATAAACAACAGATGATCTAAACATTAAAGAGTGGATAGCCTCGGTCAGAAGACAGGAAGAAAGGTTCATAAAATCCTTATTGCTATGTACCCTCCGACATACTTCCTCAGACCCCATGTACTTGAAAGCCTAGTTCTTAGAGTGAAGGCTTGTCTTATAAGCAAAGACCTTTAGGAAATTGTCCTGCATGATTTAAGAACACACATAAACTATAATTCAATTTGTCAGAGAAAATTGCTATTTTAGAAAAAACAAAAGAGTTTATTTTATACTGTGTTAGTACTGAATAAAAATACTTCATATTATATTTATTTAATATTAGGTATTACCAGCACACAAAATTTGTACAATGTGGAGGAGGAAACTGATTCATTTACTCACAGCGGTTGACATTTCACTCACTTTTGAAATCTTGTTTGAAAATTTGGGGTACTTCTGTTTCTTTTATTAGCCTTCTAGATTCCAGGACTATACTTTTGAATTATAGAAATGATTGAGATTTTTGTATTGTTTATCTAACAACAAATATTGTTAATTACTACTATGTTAATCCATATTACTCTTAGTATGAAGTGTAAAAATGTACAAATCAACAAATCAATTTTTTTCCCTTCAAGGAAGACAGACAAGTTTTTATACTTCTGTGAGGTAGTGCTGACTTCTTAATAAGGGTGCACACAACATGCTTTGGAAACATACAGGAATAGTTAAAAGATTAATTGTGTTTAGGAAGTTTGCAAAGTTAAAATGTTTTTAAGGAGCACAGGAAACTGGAAGAAGAGATTTTGTTTAAAGACATCTAGCTACAAATTGGTTTAGCCAGTGCTGAGTGCTCAAGTTTGAGTAGAGAAAAAAAACCCAGAGATCTGCCTCAAGTTTTCAGTATACTGATCAATGCATATGTGTGAGAAAACTGTTCCAGTTTAGGGGAAGAAAATCATCTGAAGAAGTTTAATAAAAACAGCATCTAGCATTCATGAATAGTGGCTGTTTTCACCAACAAAACTGGAAAAACTCATGGGACATTAAATAGGTAATTCAGAAAAGCCATGCTTCAGTAGAGAATAATTAGCAATAGATTGAGTACCACTTTAGAGTTGCTTAAAAAATCACAAAAGCAAGAAATGAAAGTATAGAGCTGACTCCAGGTAACTTAGCTGAATCATAGAACCAAACACTAGGGTATGTATAGCAATACAAAAATTAGCCAACAAAAATGAGGAAAAGTAATAATATCTTGCATCCAATTAAATATTATCAGGCATGTAATAGCAGTTGAAAGTAGTCGGTAAGTTAAAGAAAAATCTACTATAAACTCTACAGCAGCCATTAAAATGATAAAGTGTTTTAGTCAGGAGGACAATAAAAGAGATAAAAGAAAATCATTAAATGTATTCAGTGCAAGAAAATGCAAAAGAAAAGAAAAGAAAAGAAAAACATATGGTATACTAGACAATTATAAAATAAATAGGAAGATAATTAATCAAATCTAAAAACAATAATACATTAAATGTAAATGGTCTAAACACCAAAATTAAAAGACAGAGAGTATTCATTTGGGTAAAAGTGTGAGGTCCAACCCCGCTGACTGCACAAAAAAGCTTTTTTAAAAACGAGGACAAATGAACTAACAGAAAAGAAAGCAAGGACATATATTATGTCAACACTAGTCAAAACAAAGCTAGAGGGGGCCATACGACTGTAAGACAGCTTAGATCTCGGAGCAAAGATATATTACCAGGAATAATGAAACTTTCTTCATAATGATAATGGAGCTTTAAAATACACAAAGCAATAATGGATACCACTGCACAGAGAAAATAAATGGACAATTATTATAGAATGTTTCAATGTTCAATGTCTTGCTATTAAACATCAACAAAATACTGTAAAAGGGTACACCAAAGTGATTATATCTGTTATTAAAGACCCTTCCAAAAGTGTGTTTGTCTGATGAAAAGAGGACTGTCAATCACTGGACATATGGGGAGGACTTCTAAGAATCCAGAGGCCAAATTTTGCCAGCCTCATGCTTTGGCTTAGCCCAAGTTTGATTTTTCTCCTCTTGTTCTGACAAGAACTCATTGAGTTAAGCCATGGCACATACCATGATTATCAGTAACCTTCCTTCATTGAAAGAGAAAATAAACCATTTGGGAAGAAAAATGTTCTCTAAGGGTGTGTAATGAATCAGCTCTTATTGAGAACAGCACAGGGCATACATATTTTAGAAAAAAAATGATACTTTACACATTTACACAGAATAATGGGAAAGCAAATATGATATTGTGTAAAGCAGGTGGTAAAGAGTGTATCTGTTTTATTAACTTACAGTCTAGGTAATAACAAAGAGGTAGCATAGGTAAGATTAGAACAATACCTTGCATTCTTATCCTTTAATGATAAAGGTGGATGGCAATAAAGTAAAGAAAAGTAAGTAACATAATTGTGATACAAGTGTGTTACATTTTTAAATACATTTTGCATCTATTGAAAAGAATCACATTATTAATTTCTATTTATTTATGTAGTAAATAACTTCTATTTATTTTATTGTGTTAAACTTTGCATTCATAGGATAAATACTGCTTGGCTTTTATATTATCATTTTGAAATATTGATGAATTTGATTTGCTAACATTTATTATGAACTTTGCATCTATGTTTATGAGTGATATTGGTCTGTATCATCTTTTAAAGTTCTTGTGTCATTCTAGTATGGTTTTAGTTAATTCAGACTGCTATAACAGAATACCACAGACTGGGTGGCTTAGCTAACAAACATTTATTTCTAACAGTTCTGTAAGCTGGGAAGTTCAAGATCAAAGAGCCTGCAGACAGATTCTGTGTCTAGTTAGAAAATTCTTCCTGGTTTGCAGATGGCCATCTTCTTATTATATCCTCACATGACCTTGGCCAGAGAGAATAAGCAAGCTCTCTTGTCTTATTAGTAAGGGCATTAATCCCACTCATGAAGGCTCCAACCTCATGTCCTAATCACCTTCCAAAGTGTCTACTTACTTCCTAATACTATCCCACTTTTCATTTTAAAATATTCTTTTCTTTGAAGTTGACTTTGTCTGGTATCAGTACTGTCATATCTTTTTTCTATTACTTAGCTACAGCATGGTATATCATTTTTTATTCATTTAATATAAATGAAATATGTCTTTAAAGTGTATTTATTTTAAAAGCCATTTATTTGGATCTTGTGTTTTTATTCATTCTGGATTTTTTTCCTTTTAACTGAGGTATTTATTTACATGTAATTAAATTATTTTAATGTTTGTATTTAAGTATACCAACTGTATAATTAACATACCATCTGTATATTTATTACATCTGCTCTTTTCTCTACTGCCTCTTTTTCCTATGTGCTTTTGAGTAGATCAAACATTTGTAGAATTCTATTTTATCTTTCGATTATTTAATTATATCTACCTATGTTACTTTCATAGTTGCACTAAACATTAAAATATGCATAATAAAATTATTACAGTTTATGTTAAAAATGTATATGATTCACTTAAAATGATATTAATGTGTATTTTCAACTAATACTCTTCAATATGTCATGTTTTGCTGTCAGATACTTTATTTCAATATATATGGTAAACCTTTTATTTCTTAACTATTATTTTAAATGATGCATTCAAAAATCATATGTTAAGAGTACTTTTAAAGGAACTTTTATATTTTTTAATGTATTT